AACAAAAATTATTGAAACTTTATAATAAATAAAAAAATAATATAATAATAAAAATAATAATAATAAATATCTATTTATCAATTTAAATGTCGACCGATTTTTCAACTAATTTCGTGTGAATCCATTAGACCGCTAAACGCAGGAATTTATTTTAAAATTTATGTATAAGTGACAAAAATTCGCTGTTCGAATACATATCATTCTCAAAATCTAGTGCAGAACTAGGTTCTTCTGATATAGAGACTATATCTTCATTCCCGAGAATCTATAATCGTTGTCAGAAAACGAAATATTTTTTTTTGAAACGGTTGTATGTTTCCAAGTTCCTACCGACATTTTTATCTGCAGTAAGTACTTTACACTTTGACATTAGATAATACATACAGTCTGTCCGTTCTGTAGCTACGGGGTATCCGTGAGAGGGGAAACGATATTCTCTCGATGTTTTTCGTAAAAAATTAGAGGACGCGTCCCATCAATAAAAATTCGACAAATTTGCAAGTAGCCAATCAAATGAGTGGGCGGAGCGATTTGCGGTGACGTACTCGTCAAGTCGACGTATAAAATATATTGCTGTTTATTTAAATGTTTTTTGTCCGCATTCCTTTCATAGACCCAGATCCAGCAGACGCACTTTACTAATTTAATTCTCGACTTAAGACTATTTCCGAACAATAATGTATTGTTTTATTAGGAGTAAAAATTATACTTTTTTTGACGATGCTCTACAGGGTGGGCCAAATTCGACGCTTTTAAATGGAAACACCCTTTTCTATAGCAGATAGACGAAAACTAATATCGGTGTCTGGAGCTCAATTTTTATCAAAAACATGATGGTGAAAACCGCACATCAATATCTGTTACCGTTTCGGAGTTACGGGGTGTTTTTCAAAAATGTGCATTTTTAACAAATCGCTGTAACTTTTTTGCTATGGAAAATTTTGTATTTCTATGAAAACATTTCCAAAGCACCTTTTTACGTAGAATTTAATGGTTTAAGTATAATTTTGTTTAAGTATATTTTGTTATAATTCCCTTCGAAATAGAGAATTTTTAAAAGTTCGCCTCTTTTAACTAGTAGGCTTTGAACCCCTTATTGATGATATGCCCTTAATGGAACTCGAAAACATATTTTTTCCAGCAAGACGACGCACCGCCTCTGAACGCTGAAGTTATCAGACAGTTTTTGTAGCCAATTTCAAAAATAATTGAATAGCTAACCAAGATCCCAGCCGTTGGCCGTCGAGACCGCCTGACTTAATGCCCATGGATCTAATCCTATGGATATATTTGCGGAAGAATAAAGGTTCCTTATTCTTCCGTATAATCTAGACAAGAATTAGAAATACTTAGCAGTTATGAGAGGTTATCTTTCACCCCCAATGAGTTAATGAATTCCGCGAGAAATGTTCAAAAACTGCCCCGTCTGTCCATAACAGAAGACGATTGATATGTCGAACACCTGTAGCAAAATCTTATGTCTTGGTTTGCTATTTATTTTTATTGTTATTAGATATAGTTTAAATGTCTTGATGTTGGTTAAATATATTTTAAATTGTTATAAAATCATGCATCTCTCACAGCAAATATTATTTTCGTTTTAATTGATGCTCACAGCTAGATTTTTTTGCATTACAGCCTGTGCCGTTCGAAGTCTACTTATTTAAAGCGGGCGAATTTTTATATACTCTATATCTCGAAGAGGAATCGAGCAAAATATCAAGTGTGTATATTTTTGGAAAGGTAATTTTAAATTCTTTTCAATAAATTAAAAATATACAGGGTGTTCCATATAAAAAATCAAATTTTCTGTTGATAATTCTTAAATTATTAAATTTTAGAAAATTATACTTAAACCATTAAATTCTACGAAAAAAAGGTGCTTTGGAAATGTTTTCATAAAAATACAAAATTTTCCATAGCAAAAAAGTTACAGCGATTTGTTAAAAATGCATATTTTTGAAAAACACCCCGTAACTCCGAAACGGTAACAGATATCGATATGCGGTTTTCATCATCATATTTTTGACAAAAATTGAGCTCAGACACCGATATTAGTTTTTATCTATCTCCTACAGAAAAGGGTGTTTCCATTTAAAAGCGTCGAATTTGACCCACCCTGTACAGTACATCTGCTGGATCTGTGTCTATGAAAGGAATGCGGACAAAAAACATTTAAATAAACAGCAATATATTTTATACGTCGATTTGACGAGTGCGTCACAGCAAATCGCTCCGCCCTCTCATTTTAATGGCTACTTGCAAATTTGTTGAATTTTTATTGATGGGACGCGTCGTCTATTTTTTTACGAAAAACATCGAGAGAATATCGTTTCCCCTCTCACGGATACCCCGTAGCTACAGAACGGACAGACGTACTGTACCTTTGAAGGACCATCGTAAAGCTATTCCGATGTTACAGGGAGGCACAACAAATACATTTTTACTCCGAACAGAACATACTATTTCTTTTAAAACATTACAAATAATTTTTTAATCAATTTCAAACATTGCAAATAAGTGTTATGAACAGTAATCGAGCAACAATTTGTACACTCGTTGAATTTGACACTTAATATCAGTTTAATAATATATTTTTGTACTTTTTTGCTTAGAACAGTGCTTTACTTTTACGCCTAGGCGTTAAAATGACAAAATTTAATATCTTTGAGATGTTTTAAAAAAAATCTTTTGATCTGAAGCGAGCGACTTTTTTTTGAGGAATATATTGGTGACCGATGTGGAGTTGTAGAATTGTTAATGTTATCGGTATCAGGCAGAGTTATAAAGATTTAGCCATTTTGGATAAGACTTTAATTGGAAATAAGTCCTAGTCATTTGGAAATCCGATTTAAAAATAAAAAAAAATAAAAAATAAAATCAAAAAAGTCTGATTTAAATCAAAATTTTAAAAAAATCATGATTTTTTCCAACCCTGAAACAAACTGCTCCGTTTATCCATTAGAGGGTATCAAACTTGAAAAAAAAACATTTCTTCTGATATTTTAAGAACCGTAATTCCGATTTCGATGAGATTTTGGATGTCTATGTTTTGCTAAGTGCTTTAACATTTGAAGACTACACGGGAAAAACGGACTAAGTCCAAAAAAATGGAAATTGAGATAACACTGCCATCTTATGCCCATCAAGTGTCGGTACCAAAATAGGAATAATGTAACACTGAAATAATGATCTAAGCCCACTAAAATCAGCGATTAAAATATTAATACTTTGGAAAAGCGATCTAAGTCCACGTGAATTCACGGAAGACCAATCCAAGTCCATATTTCATGTTTGCAAACATATCAACGCATACAACACGAATAAAAATAGCTATATATTCAGCGCCACAACAACTTTATGCTAACCTAATTCTTTTGCCCAAACTCAAGTATGAGCAATTACAATCTTTGAAAAAGTTCGTAGATGAATCTCTGCAAAAGACTACTACTCAAATTTGCCTTGAGCGTCAAACAACGCTCATCTAAACGATGTGATATGGTGAGTAATATCAGTTAAACTATATTGCATTTATTTCTGCCTAAGAAAAGAAGTCTGATTATGTCTATTGTGTCACTAGTTTTAAATTTAAAGAAATTAAATTCTGGAAATGGTTCTAGTGGAACCATAAGGGAACTGTCTAGTAGTGTAGTTTCATTTTATCGGAAACAAATCGCCATTCCTAAGTAAAAAATAATCTAATGCTAATAATATTAATTAAAAAATAATAATAAAAATAAGAAATAAACTCGGAAATAAATAAAAAAATATTAAGAAAACAGAATAACAATATTAATAATAAAATATATGTTTCTCTTTATTCCAGCACGAGTAATCCTCAGAGTAACCACATACAGAATTATTCCATATGGACTTGGATCACTTTTCCAAGCGAATACGAGTTTTATTTTATCTAACAAATTTGCTACAAATTATTTTTATTTGTTTTGTCTGTTAATCAGTTAATGTCTATACATATAGCTATTGATAAAAACTTCTTCCGATTCGCTACATTTTATTATTTCTTTTCCTTTAGTCTTTAAAGTTTCTAAATCATTTACCGCAAAAGTAAGAAAATGCGTTTTTCCCCTGTAGTCTTCATTTGACTTTCACGAAAATCAAGAAAAATTACGGGAAGGATGAAAACCACCCCTACCCCTACATGAATTATAGTATATTTTCTATTTCAACCAACCATTGATCCTTCTACTATTTGCTACATTTTTTGTCTCTTGTAAAAAACGCCACCGCGCATGCTTTTTGGGGAAAAAATTTCGAAACTTTCTTTTTTTTGCCAATTTTGGACATAATTTTGAACTGTTTTTGATTTGTTTCAAACGCTCTAAAAGTGTGGATGCTGTTGGGAACATTTAGAGTGCATATTCAAGTATTTTCATGTGTAACACAATTGGTGTTCAGACTAGAAAACTGATTAAATATCTGATAAAGAACACAAACACAGTTTTTGTGACCACGCCATAAGGTATTTTTTCCAAATACAGATATTACTCATACAAAAACAACCAATATGTAGAGACATGTTATAAATAACATTAAAAATTTAAGCAAGATAAAATGCCATCAAGTAAAACAAACAATTATCATTATTATTTCTGAAATTCCAACTTCATAAAAACAGAAAACTTTTTGTTAAGGTTTTTCTTTCTTACAATAAAGATTATTTTACAAACTCTTGCTTTTTCAGAATGTCAGTAATGTTTTAAAATATGTAAAAAAATCAAAATATCCTAAAACCAACCCTGATCGGGATGTTTTCATTAAAAAAAGGAAAAACACACATTTGACATATTCTAAAAATATTTCCCTTCTGACGTATTTTCGAGCATCTCATAGTGTTCCATTATTGTTTATTTGTCTGAATAAATCAAATATGACAGTAAATTTAGAAAACAAACTTTATTTCGGCTTGTGCGGTCTTGTGACTCTGTGTGTCTATTAAATTAGCAGAAAACTGTGTGGGAATCAAATAAGTAACTCACTTGAACTCTCCTTAATTTTTCTTCTAACGCATTGAAGGCTAATTGTAAGGCTTGATGTTCGTCCCGTAGAGCATCATTCAAGTGTCTCAGTTCTTTGTTGGCTTGAGTTAACATGCCCACCTCTGCTTCGAGGCTTGCTATTTTTGATTGACATTCTTCTAAGCTAAAAAACAATACAATACACACTCTCCTTTAAGTTTCCTTTAACATTACACTAACCTATGTTCTTTAGCAACTAAAACCCTATCTCTATCTAGTAACTTGGCATTTAAATCTATAATCTGTTGGGCATTTTCCCCTTTGCGCTTATGTAGCTCGGCGAGTTCTTCGGTTTGACTAAGGAGTTTCTGTTTTAGGTGTTGGATTTCTTCGTGCAGTCTGGTTTCTGAAACTAACAGTATTATTTACGTTTCTTTTTCAATTAAAATATATACCTGTGGCACTGCTGTTTCCACTGATACCTTCCACCTTCAGCTTCTCGTTTTGTATGGACAGTTGTAGATTTTCGTATCGCAGCGAGTTAGCATTTTCAAAGACCTTATTATCTAAGAGAAAAAAATATATTCGTAAGAAATGGGAGTTAATAAATAACAAAGGAATTAAATAAAACATTTATTATACAGCAATGACAATATGTTAGAACAATTTTCGGAGCCATACGTTGTGCTATAAGATCCTGAAAACATTCAATTTCTCGTTTATCTCTTGTTTGTAACTGAAACAAAATTGTCTTTCGCCACTCTCCCGTTTCCATATTTCCCGAAACTTTTCATTAACCTAACCACGAACGACAACACCGATTCGCGCATAAAACCGTTCCGTGAATTAATCTAAAACCGCGTTATCTCGATTAAACATTAAACATTTATTATGCAAATTTTTTTAAACTTTCCAAAAAATAACCAATATTTTGAATGTTATTGACACTGACATAAATCAGATGATTGTCTACAGTCTGAAGTTATCCATAAATCATTTGTCAATTTCAAATTGGTGTATGATTAGTTGCCTAACATTATGTCATCCAAAGATTTCATCATATAAGATTTTAGAATTAAAAAATTGGAGAATTATATATTTTTCTTGTAGACTATATCAAGTATGGTATGTTTATATATAATATAATTCATTTGTTAATAGATTTATATCATATTCAACAGTTTATCTCAAAAAATCATAAACTACTTTCTCCAGAAGAACTGACTTCTGACTTCTATAAATATATTACCTACAATTCCTTATAAAGAATATTATGGAGATTTGTAGCAAATAATTTGTTATACTTTGTTAGTATTGTTAAATAATTCTTTATTTTAAGTTCGTTTTTAAATAAAACACTTAATTATTAATACTTTCTTGAACTAGTATGACTAGTATATTTGGTTGCCTGACAGTGCTTTGTATAACATTTAAAAAATTAAATTGTATATCGTTATTTTTAAATAAATAAAACAATATCTGTAATAAATACAAATTGCAATAGAATTTAGAATTATTGTAAATCAAATAATTGTATTCTATTTGTATTGGCCAGCATGAATTATATTGCAATAATTGATAAAATTTAACTAGAAGTAGGCAGTTTGATTTTGCGCAGAACGGGCGGTTGCGAAATAATAGAAAGTAAATTTTTCTAGTTCTCGAAATGTGGCCGAAAGAGTGACCGACAACGATGGCCAGTCCGTGAGAGTTGGGCAATTTAGAAAAACGGTACGGAAAGGGGCAATCCCGAAATGGTTTTGGGGACGTTGTCTGGTAGTTCCAGTGATTGACAGTTCATGAACGCAGTCGCCTGACCTCGAACGTCAGCTGGTGGCGGCGGACAGAGTGACTTTTCTGGGCAGAAATGGCGGCGCTATGCCCAGGTGTTCAGTATGGTTTGTCTTCGCAACAAAATTTTGGTGAAAATAAACAAGTAATTTTTGTGAAATTGACGGATTCCGCTCTACGTGCAATAGAAGATTATGTGAAAAATCAGGTGAGTCCGTTTTCCTTTGTTTTACCGTATCGATTTTAGGTAATACAATCTGTTGCCTTTCAGAGATAATAGTCGCCATATTTAGATGACTTATTAACCTATTATGCTTGATTTTCGAGATTGTATCGCGATTTTACTCGGTTTCGATAACCTTTTCGAATATTCCTTTACAGTGAAATCGAATAAACGTCTTTTAGTATGTGTGTAATAGTCGAAATTCGGCCCCCTCGCCACGTCAACATATTGCAAGGGTTTCCTCGATTTCCCGGAGATTTTCCGTCGATATTTTCGTGTAGAGTTATCGGTGAAGGTCCCCCGCATGCACCGAGAAAAAATCGCGAAAATCGGACAAAGGACAAAGCCAATATCGCCCGATAATTATGTGTTACCAAACAAGGATATGAAAGCATAGATTCCACGAATAAAGAAAACTTTCGTATTGCCACTTTTAATTGACGAATTTAGCATAGAAAAACGAGACCGTATAGAGCAATAAAAAGACAGATATTTTACGCTATCGCACCGATACAGTTTCGTAAATAATATATAATCTGACCCACACTTGACACCTACTTGTGGAAATAGAAACCAAAACAGGATCCTCTGATTATTTGTCGATAGTTCCGATCATTTTTCATCGCAATTCATATATTTTTCTGTTTGTCTTTTAATTTGAACGGTGTCTAAATTAATTTGGAACACTTTCTAGCGAGGAAAATTGTAAAGAATTCCAGTTAAAAATAACATTTCCATCGCTAATTATCATAATAGAGGTTTCTGACGATTCTGGCACCAAATTCATCAAGTTTTATAGCATTCAAATTATTTTTATTCACGTTAGGATAATAAGTATGTTATTTGGAGGTGCAAAACGGTAACAGGATGCTGCTCGATCATTTTAGACGATCCCCAAGTGTTAAAATGCTACTTTAAACGGCTCGAAGTCGACAAAAAAAACGAAAACGTATATACCCTATTGGAAATTGGCAAAAATCATTGAATTTGAAAGTTCTTAGCAGCAAGCAATTCGCTTTCAAGGACGTCGTGCTATCGAGCAGTTAGTACCACGAAATCGAGGCGCGTTGCCAAGTTTCCGTACCGACTTACGTACATGCCAGTGATGTTTATTCGAAAAATCGTAATTTTTTTGACATTACCGACCTCTTTGTGGTCCGCAAATAAACAGAAAAACACTATACATTTTATTGTATTACTTTAATCATAATGGGAAAGCAGCGAAGGCAACGCCAACAGTCAAATTAATGTAATTCGAATACTGGGATCTTCCTCTTTTAGAAATATTTAAACAGTTTCTGTACTCTTCGAAAATTTGTTAGGTACCTACATCTTTAAAAATAATCTAAAATGTCAATATTCCATGGGTATGTTGATCAATAAGGTCTAAATTATAAGAAGATGCATTTTCTACGAAAATTTGAAGAGATAGTTAAAAATAGTATAATACAATTTGATAGACAGTTAAATTGTGCATCTGATTCTTGTAAAATATACAGGGTTTCCAATTTAAATTAAACAAGTTATGGCCGTTTAAAGCTAGTAATTATTTAAAATAAATTTTTAGACACTCTATATAAGTTATTATTGTTTTTATTATATATAAAATTTAGTAATTAGAAAAACTTCAGTACAATATTAGGTTTTGAAAACTTAAATACGCCTTGAGAAATGAAGCATTAAAATTGTTACTTATTTTCACAAAAACGTAAATATTTCAGAAACGGTAAGATTAAAGTGGGGTAAACCTTAATTAAATTTACCTTTATTTTAATCGTAGAAATTAAAAATGTTATAATATACAGGGTGTTCCATTAAAAAAAAACAACTTTGATATTTTTTATTAATTTGGGACACTCTGTACCTGTTGAAAATAATTGTAAATTGTAGGTTTAGTAGTCCTCTAACGATCTCTTCACTCAAAATTTCTAAAAATCTAATCGTGTGGCTACAATACTCCGTGACACATGATTTAATTGTGGCATTAATAAGCAACTTTGAAAAATCTAACATTTTTTATTAATTTTATATAAAAAATAGTCCGTCTATACAAAGAAAAATACAAATTTCAAGTACACTCCCATATCAGATCTGAGATAAATTTACTAAAAAAAAATAATATTATATTAAAGCAATATTTTTAATACTTATAACTGAAGATTGATAATTTAATAGGTATCGGTTATTTCACAAGCTCTACAAGGTTTAAAATTATATAGACAGAAAATTCCAAAGAAGCCAGTGATACCAAAACAAAAACATAATTTTCAGATGCAAAGAAAATTGTGGAAAATTAATTTTTGCTGCTATTTTTAAATGGAGCATTCTGAAGCCAATATTTCTACAGCCAGGTTATGATTAAACTTGAAATTATATGAGAAATATTTATAATTATTTATGAGCAGACCAAAAAAACATCATCAATTTCTAAACACATAAGTACAAAAGAAAAAGAAAAACACTGACCAAAGTTATCTTTTTACATTTTTATCTTTAAACCTCATTGTGTATTGTTTGAATATTTTTTAATTGGCGTTAAATAAATAAAATACTCGAGCAAATAATAATAAAGTGTTTATTCATTAAAAAAATGTTTTTTTCTTATTGATTGTTATATAGTGAAGGATCTGGCAACGCTGGAAAATATTGTTGTAAACAGATATAGTTCATATAGCCCGTAGACAATATCTGGGAAATATCATATCCTTACCTTATTGAATGGGATTTTTTGTTACGTCATCAGAGTTAATATTACGAATTTTCAATGTCGACCATTTTTGAACAAAACGCATGCCAGAAAAATTGTCCTAGGCATATCTTAAATAACACTCGATCAAATTCAAGTTATCTTAAGGTTTTTCCAACATATACTCAAGTATAATTACCAATTCATTAAATTATTTACAGTATTGTTTATTCTTGTTTATAGGAGAATCATTTATTGAAGTATAATTAAAGTAACGTAGGTACATGATGTTTTAAAAGTGCAACAGTCGTCAAAAAAACCATCAAAATATCGTCTTCTGATCGATTGTTGACCCCAGTGTAAGAGTAAAAAAATGCAGGTGCTGTGAGAGACACACAAGCATAAACGGTTGCTTGCGAAACAGTTGCAAGACACGGATGCATTTTATGCATTTCTTTTAAATATATTTTTATAAATTTAAAGATTTGGGCCTAGCTGTATTAGTAATATACCGGTTGCGTCTCAAACGTGGCTCACCCCTATAACTTTTTTATAGATTTGGTATGTTAGTATATAAGACATAAAATTAGGATTTATTTCTACGTTACCACGTTTATTTTATCGTTATGAACCCCATGTTACAATTTCAAATAAACCATATATGTGAGAATGTCTAAAGTTGACATATGATATGTCATTCTATTCAGAGTGTCATTTTCTATCGAGTAAAGTAGAAATATACTGAGGTCTCATTTAAAAATCAAAAGTTGTAGTTATTTTCGGTGAAACAGGAAGTGACCAAAAACAATGAGGAAAATGCATGTTTTTAAATAATGGTTTTAAAAAATAGTTCATATAAGTAATTACAAATTGAACAAAAAAAAATCGTTGATATCGGTTAAGAAATGCCTCTAATATAAAATAATTAAATATTGTTAATTTAAATGGCCGGGCAAACGCTGTCTACCGCGCCTTGCCGCTGTGACGTCACCCGCCGTTCTTCTGGTTGTGTGGAGCCAGACCCGTGTTTATTTTACACAGTTTGCTTTTAAACGCTGTTGAATCCGAGTCAAAATTTTAGTTATTTGGGTTAATTAATACATAATTAGTAATTAGTGATATTTATAAATAGTAATGGATGAGCGAAAACAGAAAAAAATGGTCCAAGGCCATGAGAAGAGATGAAAAGAAAAACGTTAAATTATCCTCTATTTTTACGATTTATTGTTGTGAAGATCATTTTGATGTAAGTTCATATATCATTCATATATCGTATATTGTCTTACATAGGTATATGAAATTTGAATGTACAGGGTTCTTCATTATATTTTGACACCCCCATACAGTCTTAACTGCAAGTTTTAGAAGAAAACATTAAATAAAAAAGTTGCATGGTTTTTCATATGCTCTCTTTTAAAATTAATTCTAGATATACTGGGTGTCTCAAAAAAGGTGGTCCAGAAAATTGTAGGTATTTTTCGCTTTTCAACTGTCAATATTTCGTAAACATTTGAAGATAGGTATAGGATATTATACATGAAATATATCTAGAATATCTAGAAATTTCCGAAGAATCCAAAAATATATAGGGTGTTTCACTTAAAAACGTAACTTAATTTTGGCGTTTGCTTATGGGACACCTTGTATAATATTTTCATTACTGATAAACAATTTATTTCCTATAATTTCTTAAAAAAAAAACAATCTTTAAAAATAACAAAGGTAAGGGGGTGTCAATATATAAAAAAAACTTTCTTTTTCATGCTATGCTCTGGAGTTACTTTTCCACTTACTAAACAAATATTTTTGTCTCTTTTCACTTCTACATAACCTACAGCATTATCTCCATACGTCTCCCTACCTGATCGGAAAAATAAGTTTATAACATTAATATTTATAACTATATAAAAGTTCGTAACAGTATAGGTACCTACTTATACTTAAATATGCCTCAGTAAACTCTTACAACGTTACATACCTCTCTGTTTTTTTCCTCGTAATTCAGCACCAATAAATTGGGAATTTGAATTTATAAAAATGTCTTAGTATGCCACCTAAATACGTACATAAACGGAACACGTCTGGCTGCTGCTGGCCATTGCGCGTCGACGAGAACGGCGGGTGACGCCAGACCATCAGACCAATAGAATATCGTTTCAATTCTCGAGGCGTCGCGCGTCGGCGTCGTTTGCGTTGTCCATAGTATTTTAATGGCCCGTTTTATAAAATTGTGGTACTGCTTTCAAGAAAAAAGTTTTTTTTTGCATTTACACATATTTATTCTAATAAATTGAACAGT